TCATCATTTGGATAGACTTCACGGATAGCAGTGGCTATTTCATAATCAAACAAGCCAATATGGTGAAAACAATTTGCAACAGTATCTGAAGGAATTGAATGCCAAGCTTGAACATACTATTGCATTGCTTTTAGTTGGTCAACTTTATAGATATCAGATTCTCTAGCCTCATCACAGTCTATAGCATGTTGCAATAAAAAACGATGATATCGATGTTTAAAAGCAGCAATGATGCCTGCATCCATTGGTTAAATCTTTGAGATAGTTCTTGAAGGCAAAATAACAACCTTTATATTAGTAAAATCTATATCACCAACTGTATGCGAAGTAGCATCATCAATAAGAAGGAGAATATGTCAATCTGTATCTTGTATCATATGATTAAAGTTTACAATCCATTCTCTAAAAAGAAGTCCTGTTATCCAGGCTTTCTTGTTATAGCAGTAATAAAAACCAAGCTGCTCTCCAGTTTTACCTTTGAATGATCTTGGTTTGTATGAATATCTAATTATAAAAGGTTTTAACATATAAAAGTGAGAGTAAGACGTGTTTATCCTTTTTACTTCTTTTGATCTGTCTTTTGGTGATTGTTTTGTTTAGTACCATCCTGTAAAACAGACCAGTTTTGTCTATATTATAAATGTCACTTGCAGCATATTTTTTTAACGGTTTCACATAGTTTAGACAACCTTCTTTTGATTGCTTCATTATTAGCGGACCCACTTTCTCTATGTATTTTATACATTTAAAACTATAACATTGCTTAAATAAGAACAGCCAACCAACAGAAAAATCAGGTGTATTACGATCTTGGGGTCAAGACCAAGTTGTTGAGCAAATTTGCATTTTTTTTCACGTATTAACTCCCCAGTCAAATGAATTTTTCTTGCTTGACATTGCAAAACCCAGTTTGCTAATGCTTTGTCTAGCTGTGGTTAGAGTACTGTTCGGTGTTGTTTGATCCTAAGATCTTTTTCATCATTAAGTTTAAGATACTTATCTTTTTTTGTAAGGATTCGTGAAAGTGTTGCTTGGTTAAAGACATTATCAAGCCCAAACTTTTCCTTTGCCTATTTTGCAAGCTATCCTTGCGTTATAGTTGGATCATTTTGTTTTTGCAGGCAAATTTTTTTGTGCTGATCATTAGTTAGACTGATTTTTTTTGAAGCTATAAAGAAGTTGATTTTTTTTTTTTTGAATCTTTGGTATAATTATTGTAGAAATATTATATAGCATACAATAATATACTATTCTTGTACTAAACATTAACCAGGTTTTTTTTTAAATCAATGTCCATTTTATGCAGCCTTTAGTTTCTTAATAATTTGAATATTTAGAAAAAAAAAAGGCATAGGTAGGTCTTTTA